AAAAAAAAAAAAAAAAAAAAAAAAAAAAAGATTGAATGGCAAAATTGAAATATGGGTCAAATTGCAGCCACGGTCTATTTCACAATTGGAATGATTTTTTTTAAATCTATTTCACATTTTTTCTGGAAAGATGACCAAAAAATCTACGAGTACTTTAATTTTCACATTTTTTTTACACATTCTTATGAGCGTGAAAACTCGCTGAATTTGGAGTACTTTTTCAGTTGGCCCACACATGGCTGAGTGACAAAAATTGAAAATGTGCTGAATCGGTGCGACGATTATTTCGTGGTCTAAATGATTTTCTAAAAATTTTATAATATTTTTTCTGGAAAGAACACGACCTAATCTATGGATTCTCAAAATTTCAGATTTTTCTGCAGGTTCCTCCGAGCACAGAAAATCGCCAAAGTGACCTCTAGCAAAACGTCTGTCTCATTGCGCCGACCTCCCTGTTTTGAGAACACAGGCCTCAACCCCTGGGCATGAGGGCGCTTTTGTAGTTCACATGCCCTCACTTGTTTTGGGGGTCCGCTTTCACCCGAGGACCAGTCCTACACCCCCCACTTCTTTTTGGGGTCCGCTCCACCCGATGACCCCCAATTTTTTTTGCCCCTTAAGAACCCACTTTGTATCCTGGTCGCCCGCTGCTGAAAATGCGACACCTTGACACAGACGCCGAAGCCCACTCTACCGCAACCTTAGGGCTGCGAACTGGTGGTTTGATCAAATGACTACTTAACCAAACACTTGATCAAATGGTTGATCAAATATCTAATTGAGTCAATTGTTGATTAATCCGCCACTGCCTTTCCAAGTTGTAGTCCCGTTTGGGAAAATGGCGTATTCCGCAAACCCCGGGGGTCCAGCGCAGGGTAGTTAATTGTGACTTATAAATAGTAATATAAGGTGATAATGGTCGATTGATTTTCATGTCAATTTACTCTGACTCAAGGTGACATGATTCGAACCTATGACCCTCTGTACCTAAAACAGATGCCCTACCTGATGTATCTTTCTTCCAAACTCAGCGCTGACCAATGTTGAGTTTTCATAAGTTGAATGATTTTGTGTATTTTAACTTAATTTTGGAAAGAGTTTGGAGGCCGAGTACAAGAAAATGATAAAAAAAATATTGGGGCCCTGTGGGCCTGCTGGTCCAATGTGGGAACAAGAAAAGAAATCGAATTGTGTGGAAAAAAATGATGTTGAGGACGGCCGTTACGAAGGCCATACTCACACTACCTTCTTTCCCGAAGATAACACATATACGTTGTAAACGAGTACAACGCATAAGGTGCATTTGATTCGAATACAACGCATACGTGTCCTATTCGAATAACCCTAAATTTCAAATGCAACGCATATGCGTTGTATTCGAATTTTTTACACATTTTAAAACTCGAATACAACGAATATTTGTTATGCTCGGGTGAAGACGGTAGTAGTATCCAGAATGTATCCTTTCACTAAGGTGGCAAAGTGCAAATCTTTTTTTTTTTTTTTTTTTTTTTTTTTTTTATCTCGATGCCTCGATAGCAAGGTAGGGCGCAATCTGCATTCACCTTAAACCACCAGTACTTGGCCCAACTATTGAAGTCGGGCATGAATATGCCCTGCGCGCCAATTTTTGCCGAGCCTGCGGGGAGTGGGAAAAAATACGGGACATTTGTTGCTGCAAGCAGGTACCGCCCCTTCCTTTAGACCTGCTGCCAGCAGATGGAACGTAAACAGGCTGTCGTTTTCTTGTTTCCACTCACCCGTTCAATGCTCCCGTGAAGGATCTTCTTCCAAAAAAAAAAAGCCAAAAAAATAAAAAATAAAAAAATGAACGTCGTTTTGCAGTGAAGCCAGATACATGCGTCGAACTTGCAACGTTACACTGCCTCTGGGACTTGAGGCAATGAATGATCCCCGTCTCTCACGGGGAGCAAGTGTAGAAACAACCAACTATCTTATTATCTAAAAAAAAAAAAAAAAACACGAAAAGAGGGAAACGGGAAACAGGCATTTGAACGTGATTGGCGTGAGATTCATACAACGTCGTGTAGCAGTGAAGCCAGATACATGCGTCGAAGTTGCAACGTCACACTGCCTCTGGGACCTGAGGCATTGAATATTCCCCGTCTCTCACGGGGAGCAAGTGCAGAAACAACCAACGATCTGATTATAAAAAAAAAAACAAAAAAAATGAGAAGGGGGAAACGGGAAACCAGCATCTGAACGTGACTGCCCTAAGATTCATATACCGCCGTGCAGAAGTGAACCCAGATACATTCTCCCCCCCCCCCCCGAAAAAAAAAATGAAAAGAAAGGAAAGCAACCATCTCTCTTTATTTTTTCCTCGTCCGTTTTCTTTGTTGTTTTTTTGCCTCCTTGCTACCACTGTCCGCGCGTTTCCAGATAGCACACCACAAGGACATCGTGCAGTCCTTTTGCCCCGTTTCCATAGGGCCATCAGCTCCCTCCCCCATTGCCATGCCAAGGCTTTGCCGAGGCGCGGGAAACGCGTAGCGTTAACGCTAAGGGCCCGCGACCGATGTATGGGCCAAGTACTGGTGACTCCCTCACCAAGGGCATACTACTACAAAGTTTTAAGAGTATCTGCACACTATCATGGCCAAAGCTTTGTTTGTTTGTTTTTCCCTTATTCTTTGGTATGTCTACCCGCCGCATCGATATTCTTTTCATATGGTATCATAAAATAAAAATAAAATGGTTCCACAAAAATGTCA